CTGGAAGTCTTTAAGAAGATGTTGGATAGCTATTTGTCTGAAACAGTATAAGGTTTCCTGCCTAGGCAGGAGGTTGGACTAAAAGACCTCCAAGGTCCCTTCCAACTCTGCTATTGTATTGTATTAAATCAAGAGGAGAATGTTCTACATTGTGCAACTTTTTGAGAACCGTGATGGCCCAGTGGTTAGAATGTAGTATTGCAGACCATCTCTGCTGACTGCCAGGAGTTCAATTCTGACCAACTCAAGGTTGACTCGGCTTCCATTCTTTTGAGGTCAGTAAAATGAGAACCCAGATAGTTGGGGCCAATATGCTGACTCTGTAAACCACTTGAAGAGGGGTGTAAAGCACTGTGTCTTACTGATCAAAACTTCAGGGTCCCTTACTGTGTCTGGTGGCTAAAGTTCCTGCTTGTTTGTCTTTTCAACTTTGGAGAGAGAATGTCAGTGACTTAGCAAACATTGCATCTCTCAGAGAAAGAGCAGACTAGTGATCAAGGCCACCGAGAGATTGCATTAAAACTGAGACAATGTTGGTTTAACAAAATTCTTGAGCTTTCACCTTTCAGGACAACTAATCAAGTAAACCTCAGAGAGATTTTGCAGAGCCAACCACCAGCTATCTTTCATGCAATGAATGTAATGGATCCATTAAAAAAAAACAAAAAAACTTTACTCTGAACTGCATCAGAATTGCATTTCCCCCAAAACATAGTGTAGCTGTGTGACATACCCTTTGTTAACATACCGTCAAATATGCACTCTCATCAAAAGGGCCCAAAAAGGTTGGCAATATATTAAACAACAGCAGGAGCATAGAGTCACTGAGATAAGAAGATATGGATGAAAAAAATGATAGAGAAGTTGAGGAATGAAAGATGTTATGCCTAAGGTAGGTGTGGCTTTGTGGGTGGGTGTGTGGGTATGTAAGTGAGTGTTATGTCCAAGCACCTGGTATGCCCAAATATGGGAGGGAGCATACTGCTTCCCTTTTGCCTTTCAGCTTCACCCTAGGAGCCTTCCAGGCAGGAAACCATTTTTTGGTGTTGCATTTTGTGCTGATAAATTAATAAAAGGAGACTAGTATAGATTTATGTCAAGCTATTTAGCTCTCATCAGCTAGCCATACCCTTATTGGGATTTGAACCTGGACTGTTTTTACATGCTAGGCAGTTGTATTAGCCACTAAGCCACAGGCTCGCCTCCCTTATCAGCTGAGCCAAGGAAATAAGTAAGTGTTATGTCAAAGCAACTGGTATGCCCAAATATGGGAGGGAGCATACTGCTAGGAGCCCTGCTCTGACTTCATTACCTGTGCTACCTACATGTAGCCACTAGGCTATTGTGGAAGAGATACACATCAGAACAAACTTTACAGCACTGGTCCTCAACCTTCAGTCTGCGGACCCCTAGTGGCTATGATGTCATAGGGGTGTCCACGAAGGCTTGAAGAAATCTTTTGATTTAAATCTTGAACTAAGTCTTGTTGGTCCGTGGCTATGATCCATGACCACAAAAGTTATTTAAAAGGGGTTCCAAGGCAGGGGTGGGCTTCAAAAATTTTAGCAAGGAGTTCTCTGCCAGTTGCTGGGTAGGCGTGGCCTAGTCAGCCTCCTGCACCACACCGGGGTGTGTGTGTGTGTTTGCTCTCCCCGGGCTCTGGAGGCTTTTCTTGAGCCTCTGGGAGTGCAAAAAAGAGCCACCTCAGGCTCTGGAGGCCCTTCCCAAATTACCGCTAAGCCCATTTTTTTGCTCTCCCTGAGCCTCCATGCGCGCCCTACACTTACTTGCATCCAAAATGGGCCACATGGGGACTCCTGGGAGGGGCAGGGTGGGGTGGGCGGGGCTCCGAACTGCACAGAATCTTAGCTAGAGATTTTTCAGAATACCTGCGAATCTCCAGCAGCCCACCCCTGGTCCAGGGTGAAGAAAAGGTTGAGAGAACCACTGCTTTACATCATAATAATTGGCCTGCCAAAATTGAAAAGGAAGAGATAAAACAGTGCTCCTTCTCATCAAAGACAGCTTGTTGTGGCACCAAAAGTCCAAGTTTCCTTGAAGGCACATGCAGACACTCAGGACTGCAATCCTCCCTAGCAGTAAGTTCCTACTAAATTCAGTGGGGTCTCCTTTTAAATGGCGAAAGCCAAATCTGTTCCTAATAAGCAACTGACTCAGAAGATCATTTAAAAGCGATTTACAGTGAAGAAAATGCAAGAGGAGAGTTGATTTGACAGGGTTAAAGTAACCTCCCCTTTGCACAGGCAATTAGTTACATGTAGTTAAACATATTAAATATTTGCATCCCATAAATATCACACATGTTCCTCTTGTTTATCATTTTAGCAATATTAAAAGCTAATCAACCTGAATATCATCCGAAAAGAGAGAAAATAAATTAAAGTAAAATACAAAGTAACTCTGTTAGTTAACAAATTACAAAACCCAGGTCATTTGCCCCTCAATGGTCCTTAGGGTGCTGACGGAGGCCACTTCTGCGTAGTCATTCATGAGGAATTCTCTCAAGTCTAAAAGAAAACAATATTTGCATAACATTTATGTGCACATTGAGAATAAATGAATGCAGTTCAAACAAACTGTTGAAAGAAATGTCCTTCTGGGTTCAGCTCCAAGTGGGGGAAAAGTAAGGTGACCAGATTTTCAGATTGGTAAAGAGGGACCCCATTGACGGGAGGGG